AGAAAGAGAGAGAAATAGAGAGAGCGAGAGAGCGAAAGCGCGCGAGAGAGAGAGAAGGCGAGAAAGAAAGCGACAGTGACGGAAAGGGAAATAGAGAAAAAAATTATAGAGAAAAAAAAGGAGAAGGAGAAGGGAAAGAGACCGAGCCAGGAAGGCCGAGCTAGCAAGCGAGAGTGAGAGAAAGAGCGAGGGTAGGAGAGCAAGAAAGAGAGAGAGGGGGGAGGGAGAGAGCGCCTCAATGTTCATAAAAGAACGTGTACACACACGCGTCTACCTGGCGTATATTACGTGGCGTGTAACACCATATCGACTTTGGCAGACAAAGTATAAATGTACATTACATTCACGCTCGTCCACTCGAGAAGCTGAATGTGTTTACAGCAGGTGCGGCAGCTACGTCGATAGAGCACAGAGGCTATGGCGAGCCGCACGCCAGCGTAAGTGCAAAGGTCTCAGCGCTCCCGGCTCTCCAGAAAAACCAGTGGCAGGTATGGCGAGAACGGTTCATAATGCTGTGGCTACTGTGTTTAGATACTGCGGTCTACGGACACAACATATAGCACGCCAGAGACTGGTGGTAAGTACTGTGATACGGAAGGTCAGCACAAGACATAGTGCCACGTGTGTATGCACAGTAAAATGAATTCGTACAATAATACCAGGAGTAGATAATAGGGAATCTACTCCTGATAATACCGAACGGTAATGACTTGTCACGTATCTTATAGTGGCTTTATAAATAAGAGGGTTCTGATATATTCGGAAACTTTTCCCCCGCATTTGCTCTGCATACTCCGCAGGCGTTTCGGTTATAATAAGCTTATCAGTCAAACGCACTTAAATTTGAACCATTTCGTTAGAGCTAAAACCTCGTCCCTTCCATAGTCGGGCGCAGTCATCTCACTCATACGCTCATAAGCGCGTTAAATCATATGAACGGGTATGACGTACCAAGCCACAAGGAATCCGTCTAGGTGCTCCACATCCATTCAGAACGTTCACGATGTGTAAATAATTAGTGTAACCCTTTACCGGCAACACCTGCCCCGCCCGGCAACAACAGCCGACCGTTAAAAGCCGGTTCTTAATTTGGCGCATAATTTTCTATGCTTTCTGCGTCAAGCGTTTACGTCTCTTCGGCATTCTTGTTCGGATTGGAGCTGTCCGTTGTGCCTATATCGACGCGCACACCCGATATCAACGATTTCACAGCTCGACGGATTTTAAGATCGGCGCGTTCATTCATGCGGGCCGTTAACTGATTACTGGACTTCGTCGCTTGTTGACGTCTACGGGAACTAGTGGTCTTCTACAGCCCCGCTATGCTGGAGTTGCGGCACTGTCTCACACACATACACGGATGCGCGCGCGCACGCACACACGCACACACCCACTCACGCACGCACACACGCACACACTCGCTCTCTCGCTCTCTCTTTCATTCTCACTCACTTTCCCTCACACTCTCCTGTTTCTTGTCACTCCTATTCTCGCAGTCTTTCTCTCTCTCTCTTTCTCCCGCTCTCGCTCTCTCTCCCTCGCTATCTATCTATCTATCTATCTATCTATCTATCTATCTATCTATCTATCTATCTATCTATCTACCTACCTACCTACCTACCTACCTACCTACCTACCTACCTACCTACCATACCTAGCCTACCTATCCTTATCTATCTATCTATCTATTATCTAGTCTACCTATCCTACCTACTACCTAGCTACCCTATCTATCTAGTCTATCTATCTATCTTAACTATTCATATCTATCTATCTATCTCCTTCTATGTCACCTATTATCCCTCCGCCCCTCTCTCACTTCTTCTGCACCCCCTCTCTCCATATGTTCACCGGTTCCCCGCTCCCTCACTCTATCGCTGCTCTCTCTCTCTCTCGCTCTCTCTCTCTCTCTCTCTCTCTCTTCTCTCTCTCTCTCTCTTCCTCTTTCTGTTGCTGCTCTTCCTTTCTCTGCTCTCATCTCATCTATCTTCTCCTCTCTCTCTCTCTCTCCTCTCTCTCTCTCTTCTCTCGCTATCTATTGTTTGATGATGTCACACACTCTACGTATTGTTTGTAAACCATACATCTTATAAATTTATATTTATATAATTTTCACATAAATATTTTAACGATGTTATCCTTTTGACACATAGCCTAATTTATATGCCCTCCCCCCATTCCAGACTCACACACAGTCTCCATATCCTGAATCTCAGTCTAATTATTCGGTTATATTTTGAATTCGAAGGGACCTGTTATCGCGACCGTACATCACGAGTTCCGGGGGCGCGCTTTGCATCTAGTTAACACATGAAACGCCTTAATATAATCCGCTTTCGTTCAGTGTTTGCCGAAATATAGCTAGGCGTATTTGTGAAAGCAAAAACAGGTTATACAAGCACGAAACTAGGTAAACGAAAACGACGATTGTTTAAATTCAGTAATAGTTCGATCGACCTACACACGAACGCACCACGTAGGCCTACATGCGTAGCGAGACGAACTTATTCCATAACTAATTACACGATATAATCTACATGCAGTCACTATGAACTGTCAGCATCATAATACTGTAGATTAACGAATTTCTGCTTCCGTCGCTACACTCATAGATTATATACAAACACACACACACACACACACACACACACACACACACACACAACACACACACACACACACACACGCACGACGGCACGCACGACGCACGCACGCACGCACGCACGCTACGCACGCACACATGCACCACACACTGCGCGCTACACACACACGCACGACACAGCACCACACACACACACACACACACACACACACACACACACACACACACTGCGCTATATATAGTGACACAACGTTTTCGTCGCGCAATGTTTTTTATGCAAACGAGAACCTTGGCGTTATTCATACTGACATGCGCTGTTCCAGTGCGCTAATTACGGCAGCATAGGTGAAATCCCATCATGAGAGAGCGGCGGAAGCAAGCGGCACGACGCGGAGGACAGATTGACTTTATATTACATCACGACTAGCGCTAGCTGTCCCACGCGTTCTCATTATAAATGGAACACGTAACGTCGTTGGTATTCGGCGTAGATGAGTAGGCCAGCATGGGTGCGGGTGTATCCCGGTAGCTACACAGCGCGCTATACATGAAAGCTATATACCTGCGGGCAAGGATCCTTCACTATTATATATATATATATAAGTATCGTTACTCCGCACGCTGTTCGAATGTAGATGCATCGCATTTAATAGCATATAGCCACTATTTGGGTGGGTGGCAACAGAAAGTAAACATGCATGACCAACTTGTCCAATCATAGCCGACATAGCCAGCAGTCCCAGCTGAGCACATACCTTTGACCACGCAGATTATGCGGATTATACCTGTTTGCTTTAGCTAGGTGCACACCACCTTAAGATAATCAGCTCTGAAATGGTCTGATGCAAATATTATTGTGGAACATGCGCTGGCGGTTCGTGGGATTGGAATCGACACGCGGATGACATAAACCCAAGCAAACAGTGCGTCAGCGCAGTTCAAACATACCAAACGAATATCAGCTGTTGGGTTAGAGCAGACCAATCAATATATTTAAAATGAAATTTTCTGTTATAGATAACACAACCGTTTGACTGCAGAGTTTGACGTGTACACACACACGCACGCACGCACGCACGCACGCACGCACGCACGCGATCTATATCTACGTAATTCGCCAGCACGCACTATGGTAGATGCTGATGCATGGATGCGCCAAATAATCACCTGACTGATCAAGCGCGTCAACATTCCCATCAATTGTTATTGGTTTCTGCAATGTGCCAAATTGACGTTGCAGATTTAAATTGCGTCGGGCGCAAATAGTACACATACACGTACACATACACGTACACACATTATGTATGTGTATGTAGCCTGTCAGATCAAAACATGCCGTAGGACTTCAATGTTCATTCTGAGTTATAGGTAATTTTTCACCTAAAAGTAGTAAAAAGCCGATTTTTCATCTAAAAGTAGTAAAAAGCCGATTTTTGTTGTCATAAATACCTTTAGTAGTTATCCATGCTCGATGTTACATCAATAAAACTGGCCAAAAGTGTGTCTTTATGTGTTTATTAATGTTATTTTATGTGTTTATTAGTTAATGTTTTAATTACACTAATTAATTACCTGAATTACTTACCTTAACTGTAAGCTACCATTTTCGTACTTCATACCTACAGTGCATGGTTATTATGTCTGGTACGTGCATGCAAAAATTCATGTGTCTAGCTCAATGGGAACATATTTTTCAGATTTTTGTCCAAATAAGGGCCAAATGAAAACAAACTTGAACTTTATGACCTAATTACTCTGAAATTTGTTTTCCAAAATCGGCCCAATTCCCACTACTCAAATGCTCATAACTTCCTAACCATGTGACATAGGAAGAAGATCTTGGTGTCAAAATAACCGGAATTGAATGGTCTTTCTGATAAAACTACTAACTCATAATGTCCGAATTGAGTCATACGGCATGTTTTGATCTGACAGGCTACATATATATATATATACACATACACATACACATATAAATATTTTAGAGGGTATTGAATGTAAGCAGTGTATAAAATAGCCTTATTTCTCAGTTGTTCCCTGCGCATATACCACCGAGAGGGTTAACCGCGCAAACATGACTGTAAGCTGGGCTATTGTAGCGCTATATTGTAGCGCACAGACCTAGATACACGATACTGTCTTAGCGATATTCCGTGTTTATTCCGCAGTAGTGTTAATATGCAGGTGTTTCGCGTGCGGGGGAGCAGCTAGGCAGACAAAGCAGCACTGTCTGCCCCTACTACTACAATGCTGGACGACACTCGCTTGCCACACCTGACAACAACAGCAGGAGGCAACATCATCATTGATTGTGTGGGGGCTTTGATGTCACGCGACATAAATAATATGCGATGCCATGTATAACGCAGGCGCGCGATCGGAAAAGCGAATACTGTACCTCTTCGGCGCGTATGTCATCGAGTTGGTCCATTAAGCAGCCGGTTGTGCTGGATTCACCCTGTTTTGAGTCGCCCGTGGCCATTCTGGCAGTAGCTTCCTCATTTGTCAGCCGACGCTGCAATTCGAATTGCACACTATCGAATTATAGTCGACAGCGACATCATCGTCCTCGCTGTCGTCATCGCCGGGTGTCAATCTCCCAGCACAGTGTCGTTGTCATCGCTGTTCTTAGCCGTACTTCATCGCTAACGTGAGAGTTGTCGGCGTCTAGCTGCTGTACAGATAAGCAACCTACATACTGTCGACACTGGCTACCGTCTACTAACGTTCCGCCGTTCGGCGCACGCGCAAGTGTGCCGTGACCGGCGCAGTGACGTCACGACAGCCGCGCACGCAGGTGTGTCGTTCACGTGACTGCTGGCCAAACGCCGCCAGAACCGGCAGATAGTATCGCCCGATGCGGTGCTCCATCAACAGTTGGCTTGTTCTGCATTTTCAACAGAAAGTTTTTTTCACGAGCATACAGCGCACTTTATAAACAAATAGGGTACTATAGAGACAGCGCCTGGAGTTAGCAGATCCGCCATGAGCTAGTTTTGGGCCCTAGGCAAGATATTTCGGCCCCCGGAGGGGGCCGCACTCGCGCTCTCTCTCTGTGGTTCGAAGCGATTTGAGATTTTATGATTAAAATACGGATAAAACAAGCTAAGTGTTTATTAACAGTGTTTGGTTATTTTTAACACGCAAAAAAGGTCCCTCTAGGTGGCGCTCGGTCCTAGTCGGCCGTCTAGTCACAGCCGGGGGGGGGGGGGTGTCAAGGTCTCTTTTTTCTAGGTGTCCACAATTTTCGGGGGCTCCTTTTTTCATTTTCGGGGGCTACTTTTGACAGTTCGAGGGCTATTTTTTAATAGCCAAATTTATTGGCTTCCCAATGCCTCATGGTTCTCGAGTTTCCGCTGGAACAGTCGGAAATTTCACGGGGGCGACACTTTCACAATACGCACGAAAGAATCGCCCTCGTCATCAATATTTCGGGGACGATTTTGAACCTAACGAGGGCGAATTCGCCCGCCACCCCCGTGTATTTTATTCGCTGGTAACATCACGGTACTGGTTGTTACTCTGCATCACTCGTGGGTACAGCTACTCTGGATAACTCAGATTAAAATGAGACCGTTACGTTGTTGGAATGAGATTATTCTATGGCGTCTCTGTAAGTAAGGTGATGTTGATGGAATATGCTATGCTATTATCAAGAGCTCATAATAGAGCTCTATTACCTCTTAACTATTATCTCTATTATGAGCTCTTGCTATTATTCTACTTGTAGAGCTATTATGCTTGTAATAAACCGAGACGCGATTCTGCCTTTCCTAATTAAGCTATGTGTTTTATCTTAAAAATGCTGCCTGTCAATTCAAGTGTGCGCTCCTCACTGTTTCACTCGCAGTTCAAGTGTGGCAAGAGGAAAATTTGCAACAGATATTACAATCTAATAGAAAAAAACAATGGAGGAATGAGTATTCATATTACGAATGTATATGTTTAAAACGGGTATATAAATGCATCACAAGGGTTATACCCGTTCCAAGGAAAAATCTGACACGTTTGTGCGTTCAAATATCACAATGTAAATAAGCACGTGCGTTTGGTATACTTATTGTATTTATCTTTGGTAGTTACCTAGCTGCATATTTCATTTATGTGCATATTGATTGTCATGTATGCGTTTATAATTACCTATATAAATAAAATAAAAAAATAAATCAACCATCACGGGCAGAACACACACGGTGCGCACACAAGCAGCAAGCACACCTCGCCAAATATTTTAGTTCAACGTTTAAACGATTTGATATATTTCCAAACTAAAGACTGACGCCAAGGACAAACAACCAAAAAAAAAACATCTATTATAACGTAAATTGTTTATTTCCACATTCCTCACACCGAGAGCTATATACAGTATTTATAATGTAAGACACATTGCCTTGATTTCACCATGATTTCGACAGTATCCAACATCCGAGCTACATGCATATACGATCTTATACGATGCAGCTAAGATCACAATATCAGTAGACTTACGGCAGTTTTCTCCTCATCGATTAGCATGTACAAATATAGAAGCTTCAGTATACAATCTACAGGTGCCTTGATACAGCATGTCTGCTTGAAGGCAATAACCTTAGTTGCACAACAGGCGGCGGGTCTCCAGTGTCTGATAAGGAAGACATGAATATCTGACATAAACTCGAATACGATACGTTGTAACGTACTCAAGCAATCTTCACATCGTCAGAGTGACTCTGCTAGAATAACGGAGGCTATTCTATGACTGTAGATGACTATGCGGTGAATATTCTTCTGAAGGAATTTTCTTAGTAGAATAAAGTTCTCATACATCGAACACACCAAGAAAGAATCCCGACGCTCTCAACAATCGAATTTTCTAAACATGCTCAGAGATTTTCCAGAGCAAAAGATACGACGAGAAAGGTCGCATGGATATGCGAAGGGTATACAGTGTAGTATATAAGGAGCAGGTCGGAGGACTTATCTGAGACTACTACAGATATTTTTGCTCAATGAACCCGTAACGGTCACCAACCAGAACTATTCGAGGAATCTATCAAATGCAGACATTATTGCCCATATTTGGCTTTCTATATCTGTGCCATTTCATTTTATTTCTCACTGCTAACCTATCCTTTTTCATAACGAATTTTCTCAATCATTCCACTCTCTTATAGCTAATATCTATCACCTTCTTGTACACAATTCTCCACCTTCCTCTGTCTTACAGCTTAGCTCTGACCTCTCTTAGCAACATTACTTCTAAACTCTCATCTTTATGAAGCCAACTATTTGTAAATGAATTTTTCCTAATCAGAAAAATCCTCTATTTTACTCCTGTTTTTATTTTCCTTTTCCCCATATCAGGCTTCTTGTTAACTTTCCTCACAGTTTAGAGTTTACTATTAGCTTGCTATTTCTTGCATCATCCTCACTCCTTTTCATTGGGTAAACATCATTCGTTCTTATCACGTTGTGTCAACACAGGTATAACGCTTTTCAAAATAAATAAGCACCATTGGCTTTATATACAAGTTAAAATTTACATCATAATACACCAGTAAAATTGAGATTTCACCCAGAAAAACAACATGAGTAAATGATGCAGATAGACTCTGGGGTCAATGCATTACAACCTGCTGACACGAAACTGCAACTTACCATTTCTAAGTATAAAGAGTAGCCACAGTATTGGCTAAATGCGTGTAAGAGTTAACGCAGGACAAAATAAAGCGTTGTAAACTTTAACTATTATGCAGTTATTATTACACAATTCCTACACTGATTTCTACACCAAATCAAGCAACTAAAAAACGCTTAGTCATGCTACTCAGTTAGAATAGTTGCAAATCAAGGTTTAACGAATTGCATGCACTCACTCAAGACTCACACAATCATAAAGCACTTTCTCATTCAACAATATTTATCACAGTAGCCCACTGCAGTGGTGGCCGAATACATCTCACGCCCTTTACAACAGCTAACACTAACAACGCATCAAACTCCCCATGACGCTGCACTGAAACGACATGTGAAAGCCCGACAGCAACAACGAAAGCTCCACTGATGCCCTAGCTTGTAAAGCAGAGGATAGTGCTCGCACGCAACACATTAATGTTCTACACTACAGCTTCTGATTTCCTCATCAGCTCGCTAATCTGCCAACAAAACAGGAAAGGACACGTTACGATGTTCGGCGGGTTCGTTGCATTATGCTCTCTTGTGGACTTCGCTTCAACCAGCGATGCCTGCGCCGTAAACGTTCACGGAAACTGCGCTGATGTCGGATGCTGTCCTACGCACACTGGCCACTGCTCGGAGACACATGCCCATTAACGTGGCCGTTCGCCATAGACGAGTCTCTTGCCAACTCCTCGAGGGCAGGGCTCTTCATTTCCATGGTGATGGTTTCTAAGATGCCATCATCATCGTCTTCATCCACCACGGGTATCGATGCAGAGATGCAACTTGGTGAAGTCTTAAAGTTTGAGTCTATCCTCAGTTGCACAACCTATGGAGGACGGAGTGGTAATTAATCACTGAAAATCATAGTCCCATGCGACAAACTAAGGCATTTGATAAGCAGGATACGCGAGGAAAAGGGAGAAAGGAAAGGATGATAGGGGGATAGGGGAGGGAAGGCTGATAGGGGGATAGGGGAAGGAAGGAAGAATGGAGGAAAAAGTGAACGGGAGAGAAGGTAGGGGAAAGAAAGATAGGAGTGAGGGAGAGGGATAGAGAGTGGTAGAGAGAGGGGAGAGAGGGAAAGTGAATATAAGGGATGAAGGTGGCGACGGCAGCTATTGTCAGCATTTAATTGGCAGCCCAGGGGCAAGCTTAAGCAAGTGTGCACACCTCTGTCTGCAAATCTGCAATCTGTGCTTGTAGTTCCTTGATTTCGTCAGTTTTGTCATGCTTGTGCAGAGCCCCCATTGTGACAAGTTCTTGCTTCTACAACAAAGGAACAATGCTTGATTACATATCAATCAATGGAAATATCACGGATTACTATGGCAGTGATTAAGTTACATGCAGGCAACTGCAGTCCGACTTAGTGAGTTCATATAGTGACTGTTCCACACAGGTGCTAGAATACATGTTGAAAAACTACAGACACACTTCCTACCCCAATTTCCAGCGCAGCTATCTTTTGCGTCATCTCTGCAAGCTGCTGAGAGAGCTCGGCCTCGCGCAGACGTGCCATCATCTGTTCTTCCTTACACTGTAAAAACAAGCAGACAGCATTAGTGAACTTTGCCGGGAAGGGGAATACCTAGAAGAGTAGAAGCAGCAGGCAGTGAAAGATGGCCAGAGCTGTAGGAGGATGTGAGAGAGAAAACGAACAATGTACAGTATTTGTAGGAAGGGAGTGATGCTAAAGCATAGGAAGCAATCTCTCAGTCGAAAATGCAACGCGGAACTCACCCTGGTCTCCAAGTCAGCATACTTGCGCTCCTGCCCTCTGAGGCCATCATGAAGCTTCCTCTCTCTGGACACAGCTTCGTCTAACTGCTCTCTCAAGAGAACCTGCTCCTCATCAGCTCTCTTCAGCTGATTGCTACTCATCTGACTCTATAACAGCACATCACCATACAACACATCACTCACTGCAGTAACGTGAATAAATCACGTTAATTAACGTTATATTTTTGCGGCCTTTTCTACCAGTCACAGTACATAGAAAGATCCATCAAGATGCGTGCAGATACTTGATATTTTTCACAGCTGATCTATTCCACAGTGATAAATGCAGAATCACTACTCTCTATTAATAATATTAATGTTGTTATGCCATATAATGATTAACAAGAGATTACCATGACAACAGAAGCGAATAAAAACAAACTTTGTTTTTATTCACACTTGACGACATTTGACAATTGGGAGAAGAGGGTTTGACACTGTGAATAAAAACAAATATTCCATTCACTCCTGACGACATTTGACAATTACAAGGGGTGGTTGCGGCACAGCGTGAGTAAAAACAAACTTTTGTTCTTAATCACTCCCGATTTGTCAACTGCGATGCGGTGGGCCGCCTGTGCAGCAGCAGCAGCACGTACCTGTGTGTCTAGCTCCATCACGCGCTGGCGCACCTCCTTTAGCTGCATGAGTGTGTCCGCTTCCCGCAGCTTCACCGTCATCAACTCGCTGTACAGCTGCTGAATCTGATTCTTGTTGTTGCTTTGGTTCTTGGTGCCCATGTTCATAGCGACCATGTGCTTCTGCAGAGCATCGTAGCAAGCACGTTACAAGAAGCACGTGTCAACTTCTGGTTAAAATTTCGCAATAGTATTCACTTCCACAAAACAGGTATATGGTTTTGGTAAGGGCAATGCCGATCTTTGCACTATTTATGCAAGTGGCACAAAGTCACCATTAGATTCAACCCACAATTTGATAGGCACACATGCCCAATCGAAAATAACATGCCAGAAACCAAGGATGCAGAAATAATGACGCACGTTTATATTTTGACTGACCTGTGACCCATGCACAGACATCAATAGTAGGATGCAATAAATGCTGCCACCTACAGGATAAATTGTTGCCTACGTACCTGCCAAGTTTGTTCGAGGTCAACTACTTTCTGACGCAGCTCCTTCATGGATAGATTCGCTTCAGCTTCACGCAGCTTCACTGATATAAGCTCCTCCTGCAGTGATGCCACCTGGTTGCTGGGCGCCATTCTGGACATTTGCCTATTACTCTATATGTAGAGAGACAGAGACATCGATTGATAACTCTATTGCAATACTAGCCATCACTGCACTCTGTTTAGTTATGCAAAGTATTTTAGCCAATTATTAGTAATATGAGCTCGAAATGTTAAAGATTTATTGATTCTAGTACTACACATACTATTTCCCATCTCTTAGGGTAACCGACGATTTTTCTCAACTTGTTTCGTTTCACTTCTCTTCTTTTCCACTCATTAATGTTCTGCTGCACTTTCATCTTACACTTCCATACTTCGCTCCATTCCTCATACTCTCATTACTGCCCTTTCCTATTTTCAATCCACATGCCTTCTCCCTGCCCACCTTACTTCTTTTCTCCTTCCCGTTCTCCTTCTTATTCTCCTCGTGTCCTTGTCTCCTGTCTCACATTCTCCTCTCCTCTCTACACTCCTGTCACTACCCACATGCCTCACCCTTCCCTCCTGTCTCACTTTCTCTACTATCCTTGCATTTCACTCTGTGTCTCCTCCCTTTCTTTTTACATATTTTCCTCCCCCCTTGCTCTCTCTCTCTCTCTCTCTCTCTCTCTCTCTACGTGTACCTCCACCTCCTCTTGTCACACGTTTTCCTTCAACCCTTGCTCCTCTCACTCTGCGTACCTCCACCCCGTCCTGTCACACCTTTTCCTCTCCCTTTTTCTCCCCTCACACCGCGCGTCTCCTCCCCTCGTGTCTCACCTCGCCTAGCTCATCTATTTTTCTCCCCTCACACAGCGCGTCTCCTCCCCTCGTGTCTCACCTCTCCTAGCTCATCTATTTCGCTCCCCTCACACCGCGCGTCTCCTCCCCTCGTGTCTCACCTCTCCTAGCTCATCTATTTTTCTCCTCTCACACCGCGCGTCTCCTCCCCTCGTGCCTCACCTCTCCTAGCTCATCTATTTCGCTCCCCTCACACCGCGCGTCTCCTCCCCTCGTGCCTCACCTCTCCTAGCTCATCTATTTTTCTCCTCTCACACCGCGCGTCTCCTCCCCTCGTGTCTCACCTCTCCTAGCTCATCTATTTTTCTCCTCTCACACTGCGCGTCTCCTCCCCTCGTGTCTCACCTCTCCTAGCTCATCTATTTTTTTCTCTCACCAAGCGCGCTCTGCCTCCCCTCGTGTCTCAACGCTCTCCTAGCACTCATCTATTATTTTCTCCTCGTCACACCGCCGCGCGTCTCCTCCCCTCGTGTCTCACCTCTCCTAGCTCATCTATTTTTCTCCTCTCACACCGCGCGTCTCACCTCTCCTAGCTCATCTATTTCGCTCCCCTCACACTGCGCGTCTCCTCCCCTCGTGTCTCACCTCTTCTAGCTCATCTATTTTTCTCCTCTCACACCGCGCGTCTCACCTCTCCTAGCCCATCTATTTCGCTCCCCTCACACCGCGCGTCTCCTCCCCTCGTGCCTCACGTCTCCTAGCTCATCTATTTTTCTCCTCTCACCTGCGCGTCTCCTCCCCTCGGGTCTCCCCTCTCCTAGCTCATCTATTTTTCTCCTCTCACACTGCGCGTCTCCTCCCCTCGGTGTCTCACCTCTCCCTAGCTCATCTATTTTTCTCCTCTCACACTGCGCGTCTCCTCCCCTCGTGTCTCACCTCGCCTAGCTCATCTATTTCGCTCCCCTCACACTGCGCGTCTCCTCCCCTCGTGTCTCACCCTCCTAGC